GGAGGAAATTGGGACATGGCTATCACTAATTCATTGAAGATGGAAGATACGCCAGGAAACGAAGATGAACCTCATCAAATAATCTTTTGGTTGTTGAAGTCTAGTCTGTCTAGCCGAGTTGTCCTTTTATTGACAAGTCAAGTTATATCATAGACCCCTAGTCCACACGATGTTGTAAAAGCTTACCTGTCCAAATTTATAGCAGATATTTCTTCACCTCATGACAGTATAAATACATGGTGTATCAACCTGTCTGCTCACCACAAATTTTCCTCTCATTCTTTGAACATGGAGTCCCTAGCTATGAGAAAATATTTGCTAACAGTTGTTCTCGTCGGAATTCTAGCAGCTGCTGCCATGCCCCAAAATGTGTTGGCTCAAAACTGTGGTTGTGCACCAAACTTGTGCTGCAGCCAACATGGTTATTGCGGTCTTGGCAACGACTATTGTGGCACGGGATGCGAAGAGGGCCCTTGTTTCTCTAAATCTCCTAGCGGCGCTTCTGTTGCCAGCATCGTGTCACCTGAATTCTTTAACGGGATAATTAATCAAGCCCGTTCAGATTGTGTAGGGAAGAGATTCTACACGAGACAAGCTTTTCTGACAGCAGTCGATTCGTTTCGTGATTTTGGAAAATTAGGTTCTGATGTTGATTCCAAGCGCGAGATTGCTGCCTTTTTTGCACATGCCACACATGAGACTGAACGTAAGCTCTCTCTTTCTTTTCAACTGAGCATAGACTTTTCACAAAAGCTCATTAGTCATGTAAGCAACTTGGTTTGATTTAAAAGTTATACAATTCAAAGCCCATAGCACTCTTTAATCATAATAATTTGAAATCAGTTTTTATGGTATGCCTGTCTATATAGGTTATATAAACAAATCATTGGACATTAATTCAGTTAACTTAAGCTTTCGTTTAAATCTAACGGATAAAATGTTGACTATTTTGCAGACCTCTGCTACACAGAAGAGATGGACAAGAGCAACAGCTACTGTGAAAATAGTGCACAGTACCCATGTGCCCCAGGGAAGTCCTACCATGGTCG